ACGAGTATTACCATAAATAAGAGATACTAAATTAACAATTCAAGATGAGAGAGTGTTGTTTGCGCTTTGAACCATTGTTTAATAAATTCACATATAGCTTCTCATTATATTAGCAAACACTGCAAGATTAAGAAAAATAAAGTATTTATAAATTTGAATAAAACAAAAATTATAAATAACACAAGCCCGTTAATAATAAAATAAAGTAGTCCTACAGTATGGCACAGACTTTCTCGTACTAGTTATTTTCCTTGTCTGTCTAGACAGGGCTATCGTTTCGATTTTGTCCCAGCCTCTTCTCAGCTACTATCTATTAGCGCCTAAAGTATGTTCACATTTATTTTAAATTGTTAGGTCGCCGAACTGCCGAATTGAAATAAGATGTTTAGAATATTATAGAAAAGTACAACCTAGTTCTATATTCAAATTTTTGCTGAGAAAATGGGAGCCTTTCTTTAGAAAATGTTAGAGCATTTCAGAAAATGCGAAATTTTGAGCTCATTTTCTCACAGAAAACTTTTGAGTTTTAGTAAAACTCCTTTTGAAATCATTTAAAGCACTTTTACTTACATTTGCACACAAGTGTAAAACAACTTTAGTCGTTTAAATATTAACGACATGAGTAACATTAAAAATACGTTTGTGTACATTTAAAAAAATAAAAAGAATGAATGAAAATGAAGTTTCTGTAATGTTATTCAGAGCATTTAGCACTATCTGTACAATAATTTTGAAGAAAATATTTGAAACAATTTTTGACAAAATGACTTTTAACACATCTGAAAATTCGCCATTTTGAACTTATTTTCAAATAAAAGTAATCTGTTTTCGAGAAATTTTATAGTTTAAAGCACTTGTACTTACGTATACAATAATGTATAGAAATTGTCGGTATTATAAATATTAACGACAGAGATGTGTCAAACACTTTACATTTGTGTAAGTTCTGCAGAATCAAAAGGATATAGCAAATAGAAGGTATGTCATTTTATACGTTTATTTAGAACTATCCTTGTAAAAAATGTATATAACAGATTACGACCTGTTTTTGATAAAAATCTTGTTTTTAATATTGACCATATTTCAATCGAAGTTTCTCCAAAACTAATTATATTTTTAAAGAAATATACATGACATTAACTAAAGAACTGATTGCGGAGAATAAATTTCATTTAAAGAAAAAATCTCTGGTTTCAAAATTGTAATTGTAGGAAAACGCCGAAAACATTTCAACATTTTGTAAATTTTTACACAAGTTAAATTCGAGTTAACAGTGAAAATTGGCCATGCGCCATCTTTATACCGGCATTTCACTATTCTTGCAGGAATTTTTTAAAAAAAATTGGAGTTATTTTTGAGAAATTTTTGAAAATGTCCGAGGAGCTTGTGAAAATCGTCCCCAAAATTTAAAGAATGTGTTCAATTTCAATAGCAGAGCTTTGAGTCGGGCCAATTAGGCCGGTGGATATTCATTTAGAACAAATTCCAACGAAGAGTTTAAACGCTGGTGTTGTTCCCAAACCGACGAACGGACAGCCCTACAGACAGACGGACGGAAATTTTGAAAAAACAACACTTTTTTCGGTGTCAAGGGATCCTAAAATATGCTGTGGACTATGTATAAGCTAAGGAAAAAGATTAATAAAAAGAAATTGGAATCAATTTTTGAAAAAAAAATTGTAAATGTTGATATTTCATATAAAGTTCCTCTCAAAATCAAAATATCAGTTCAAACTCAGTGGGCCTCAAGTTCATTTAAATCAATCGGGGAATATCAATTTTGGGGAAAATCGACTGAACCTTATAAGCGCTAGCGTTGACTACAGACGTTTTGACAATGATGGACTGACAGAGGTTTTGCGGACAATCGATTTTTCGTTATCAAGGACCCATAAAACATGGAATCTGAGTACGTTACGAGTTAGAGGTAGTAATTTATTATATATAGGAACAAAATTTATCCACTTTTTCGTTACAAGGATCCGGCAAAAAAGTGTTTCTGTCGGAAATTCGCCATTTGCTGGTACATGATTACAATACTTTACTCTTCTTACGAAGTAAGGGCGACAATGTAAAAAAATTAAAATTAATAAAACTTCTACTCAATTGATTTGTAACTCATTATAAGTACCACACACCGCTGCGCTTTTCCCAATGCATAGAGAATTTGAGTTAGTGGTAACTGTGGCCGCATCTTTATTTAAATACATATTTTTTTCTATTTAGATAAAAATGTCATCAATTTTTCACTTTTGCAGGATAAAAGGAAAAAAAAATTATTATTTCGATAGAAAGTTTTTTTGTGGTAGCAAAGGGCGAGACAGCGATGAATTGTGACCACTGAGAATTCCGCAGTAAACAACATTTGAATACCTGTTGGCCGCACACCATTTGATTTGATTTGATTTATTTAGTCAAAAACAGTAGAAACTGTATATGACGTATGGGGGATAAAATCAACGTTTTCTTTAGTTCCAGAATCCTTTCCCAACATTTGAACTATAAATGGTTCTAAGATGAATAAAAGTTGTTTAATAATAATAATAATAATAATAATAATAATAATAATAATAATAATAATAATAATAAAAATATTGAACAAGCGTGAGATTAGCAACATTTGTAAAAGCTAGACATTTCGTACCCGAGTTATAGAAAACTTCCTTTGTATTGCTAAAAAAAATAGCAACTTACCCCCAGCTCTACTCCTACCACTACCACCACTACAAGCAAAAGGAGAGTTCAACAAAACGCGCGCATAAAGAAGCTACATTTATATCCAAAAGCAAAACAAGGGGCCATCTCAACATTTGCTTAATGGATTAGGGAAACTGGACAAAAACCTGATCGAGATAGGGTAGTCCATTCGGGATAGTCCTCGAGAGCAATTGTCAGTGTTCAAGGTATTTAATTGTTCGGGGTAAAACTAGTGATACTGCTTCAGTGAATTTATTATTTTCTGTATTCATACAGGAATAAAATTCACTGAAAACTGAATTCAGATATCGAATGTGAAGTCAACTGGCGAAAGAGAACCCACAAAACTATAGTTCAAGAGTACGATGGGATGCATAAATATGAGGAAAAGTTATATAAGCGTTACGAAATTATTTTGTTGAGGGGAGTTCAATCTCGCCTTTCAGATGTGTTGCAGGGGGAGGAGATGTCCAAAAAAACCGAAATTTCCGTTACGTAATTTGTGGACGACCCCTTATTAGCTTGGATTCACGCAACCGTCTAGTCACTTGTGTCAGTAAAATTGCCTGTTTTGAAGATCCTCCACTGAATGCTCGCAAACCATGTACTGCTTATTAAACATTCGTTTGTACTTTAAAATTAAAATTACTGTTTAAAATGACAGTCTTAATTATATCTCGTCTTCTCCTTAAATCAAGTTAAACCCGTGACCTAAAGAAATCATATCCACTTGTTCATATTTTATCAAAAATGTGAAGTGAAATTCCAACTAAAAACTAAATGTCATCATGTTTTTGCAGAGGAAGGTGGCCCTTTACAATGTTTTTCTTCACAATGTTCAAAATTAATATATTGGACTTTAAAGCCTTCTTGTCACATCCATAGTGATTTCTGCTTGTGAGTTACTTTTTGTAATAAGTATGGTTGCACCTTCGGGAGAAAGACTCTGAAGATTAACCACATTTGTATCATTCTTATTATAAAAGCAAATACTACAAAAGGAAAAAGTTGCCGCAACTTTTATCCATTGATATAAAAGAGCCATGTATTTCAATACAACTTACACGTGCAAGAAGGCGATGATAGTTTTCTGTTATTTTATTTGTGAAACGTCAAGGGAAAAGATTAAAAAAAAAGTTTTCCATCACCTAATTTACACACACATATCTGATTGAAATTTATTTCTTGGAGCGCGTTCCGGCACCTAAAATTTTACAAACCCAGCAAATGTGTGTGTGTGTGTGTGTGAGAGAGAGAGAGAGTGAGAGAGTGAGAGAGAGAGAAGTGTTATTGTTTGCTGGGTGTATACATACAGTGAAAAATTGTTTCAGAATTTTCTGTCGCCAAATTTGCGAAAGTAAACAAGTGCCCCTAAGAGACTGCTTATTTTGGTTTCAAGTCAATCAGTCCCATTTTACGCCCAACTGTGAATAAACAATATCCTAAAAAGGCGATTACGAAGTGTAAACAGCGCGCCTGAAAGGCGGCTGGAGGAAGGGCAATGTGGTCAGCCGCGGAAGTGACGTGTCCTGCAAAGGGGTCGTCACCCTCGCCAATGTTACACGCGCACCCTCTCCCCCTCCGCGGCCACGGCAGCAGCCGGCGCGGCGTGCCCCTAGCACCTCCGCGAAGAAAGGGGGACGCACCTCCACCGCCCACGAAGGGACACGTAAATCGATGAGGAGCCCCGCCGGTTTCTTCTCCTGATACGAAGCGCGTACCTACACCTTCACACACACACACACACACACACACACTCCGTCGTCTGTCGGAGCTCCGTAGACTCGGATCGCCTCGAATTCGCAGGATCGTAGTACCGCACGGTGCATAAATTAATCAAAAGAAGAACTAAGAATTCGAATTATTTTGATACCGCTTTTTTCTTTCTTTTTATGATTTTTTTAAAAATTTATTTTGTGGTTCGAACTGAGCAACCAATAATTTCTAGACTGTTGGTGAATCTTTTCAAAAGTGTTTCAACTCTGAACCGTTTAGACTTAAACTATTAAGTGGAAAGCAACACTTTATAATATACACGTGGCAAAAAAAAAAAATGTAGTAATGCATTCTTCTGTGCAATAAGCTTTCAATCGATAGAGCAAGCCGGGTGTTCAAGAACTGTTTTTATAACAGGCAAATTACAATGGTGCATGTAATACATGTAAACCTATTGTCCTTACCTGCTTTGACTCACAAATCTTCTGTCACTACCAGCATATCCGAACGTTTTCCCATAGAGGTACTCTTCTCTTTACTACCTGCTGATGCACCTCCGTCGTCGTCATAGCAACGCCCAAACACACCGGGCCTGCGATAAAACTCTCACTTGATTAGAGTAGTCTCCACTGGCGCCTGCTCGCACTACGTAAGTCAGTTTAACACAAATCAGCTGTGATCCGCGCTGCACCAACGCCACCTGGTACCCTATCAGAGATACAGGTGGCATTGGCTGCTTGCTGCAGCTGGCAATTGCATTGGACCCTGAGGGATGCCAAAGAAACTAGTTTCTTGACCCTGTTGCGGGCGGGGGCGAGATGCTGGAACGTGGACACCTGTCGCCCACATTGCGTTGATCTCTCTTGCAAGAAGAGGGTACATAAGTCCTCAGTATATTGAGTCGTGCTAATATAGTATTCATAAATGAGAATTTCATAAAAGTACATTCATTGAAGGAGCCTCGAAGTTTATGGCACGCATATTGAAGAAACAACACGTAGCTGTGTAGTGGCATCTGCTAAAAATGTGACAAAACTAATGTTGCAACTGAATTGGCTTAGCGATGGATACCGATCCTGGATTAATTTGTTTTCAACACTGTGGATCAAAAGTGTTCTGTTTCGACCTTCCCCCAGAGTGTCCCACGTGTAATAAATATCTTACTAATGAACGTTTCCAAATTCCTCCATTCAGGTTAATTTTTATTGCATTGAATATTGACACATTTTTAATCGTAGTTCTTAATGTTATTTTTTTATTTAATTTTATGAATTTTCAGGGTTCCGTATCCGTTTGTACGTGCTTCACAGCATCCATGTAGTATTGTCATAAGGCCCACAGTCGGTGATTTTCTTAAGTAAGTGTTATTGACTATTTTCCAGATTTCAACTACAATAAGTTTTGTAAAATATACACTATGTTTTAATTGTTTTAAACCTTTGGGGGGGGGGGGCAATGAATGCAATGTCAGTTCTGAGATTACTGAATAAACTATACTGATGAAACATTTCAAATTTCTATTTCAAGAAGTGCTTGATGTATTATATACTCATTAAATTTGATTTGGAATTGGTATAGTAGAATCTCAAGTTTTCATTTAAGGTTGATTTTTTAACTTTCACATTGCATTTTCAAAAATATAATTATGTGTAAGTTTCTTGCTGTAAAATTACTTACATTGCTTTTTGTCAAGCATAAAAAATGTACAACAATTTTTCAACTCTTTCAGTGATTATTTGAACTCAATGGACTTGCATATTGGTATTACCAACTCTGATGGTGACGTTGTCGAATTTGATAAAGATGGTTTACGTCAACAAGGATCAGATATGTGGGAACAATGCCTCTCTGTACCTGGTGTTTCTGGTCCTTGGACTGAACATTGGGACGCCACTTTACAAGATTTGATAAAGGAGGGTCACTGGATTGCCAGCAGGTATTGTTTTTTCTTTCTGTGTTGAATATACTCCACAGCTCCGCAATGATTTATGTTTTTTCTTTAAGGTTGAAATTTCTCAAAATATTTATTATTAATTTTACTCTAAATAATCACTATGGTGACATTCAAGCTTCCGATGAATGATACCATCAACGGTTGATACCTGCCTGAGGCAGAGTTGTATAAATTGCAGTTTAATTGATATTATTTTAACAGAATTTTAGTTCTGAAGTAAAAATATTCATAAATGTGATTAATGATGGTTGTGGTTTTGTGACAGGTACGATGAAAGACATTTAAATTGTTATGCGTTTGTTTTGGCATTTCTTCAAAAAGTCCAGTGTGGAGAACTTAGTGAAGCCGCTGTTAGTCGTACAACTTTCTGTGAGAGATTCATTGTACCAAGAACTACTGCTGCAGGAAAGTATATCTCTTTGTATCGCAAGTTAAAACATTCTAATTCATATGTGCATCCAACAGTATGGGATTGGATATGAGCCTAATAGAAAGAATAGAAGTTTTTGTCTTAATGTATATTTTAACTCCTAACATAGTTCAAAGCTCCATTGCTAACATGCTAGAAATTTTTACAAAAGCTTGCACCAGTTGGGAGAAAAAAGGCATGGAGGAAATTTGTATATATAGGTTGTTCAGACTCTTACTGGATCACTTTCTGTGAGATGTGATGTTAACTACTTCAAGAATGAGAAACTGGAGCATTTGGATCTCTACATTATTTTTAATGGTGGTAAAATTAAAATTCTCTGAAGGTATTGAAGATTTATTCTTCCTTGCTGTGTTATTTTGTGTGTAATTTGTAAATGTTTGTTTATTTAAAAATTATAGGCAACATTTTTTGAAGTAATAATATTACAGAGTTTTATTTTATAGAGATCAATTGTTACTTCAGTCGTACTTTAATTTATCTGAAAATTCCTTTATTTAATATTGTTGGATTTATGTATGTTGTATTCATGTATATAATTTATGGTTTTTATGACAAAACTATGTATTTTGAAGAAGATGAGAATGTCTTTATAGGTTTTTATTATACTTCCTGTCATTGAGCTACTGTTATATATTTTGTTTTTTCATTCTTGTTTATCTTTTCAATCAGAGAATGGGTTTTGTCATGTCAGTTCTGCATGTGTTGCATGCATTCGAGGCTATCCATTCCACAGTTCTCTTTTTAGTTTTCTATATGCTGTCAGTGTTTTCCATACTGAGCCATGTAAAAAAGTGTATTCCAGAACAATTTTATGGGAACCAAACAGTTCATTGTGCCACATGTGGCATGTACCAGTTACATGCCATGCCATTTTAATAGCAGCTGCATTTATTGCGAAAATTGAGGGGAAGGATGCCACCCTCCCCTCCCCTTCCCCTTGGGAGTTTGATGACCTCTCCTGGAAAAGTATTAATTTGCCCCTGCTAGGGGCACAATCCATGTATGATTTCCTTATAACCTTATTTACTATTTCTACATTTTCTTCTAATCAAGAAACCAAGATTGCAGAAATGCACATCATTTATTTCACTTGCGTGTTGCCAGCCTTTTTATGGTTGAGAGCTACTTCCAAAATCGAAAATTGGTAGATTTCAATTATATTTAGAAATCTTATTGCCAATACGTTTATATAGAAATTACATTTTTTGTGAAATTCATATAGACTTAACCTTTTTTATTGTCAAATTTCTTCAACAATACAATTAGTGCAAGTGTTATATATGTCTGACAATGTCCTCTTCGAATAGCAAATGAGTTCAGGCAATATCTTTTGACTAAATCTTCGGTAGAAAAGTCTTCAAAACAACTACCTATAGTTTGAATTCTATTACCTACAGTGTTTGATAGTTTCATTGAATTGATGACAATTTGTTTCCTTTGTAAAGACTGCAAACAGACTGTCACCAGCAGCATTGAAGGCCTCCTTTATTAGTTCACCAGCCATGTAAGACTTCTTCTTCTTACACAATAGATAACAAACTTTGCATACAGCAAATGTTGCATTAGGGGACATCCATAAATTACGTAATGTTGAAGAGGGGGAAGGGGTCTGAGGCAGTGTTATGCTGTGTTACATAGGAGTATGGGGGTATTTGTTAAGTGTTACGTAACATTGATTTTTTTTAAAACATTTTTCAACTTTTAATTTTTTTGTTTTTGTTTTGCACTAAAACATTAAAATATTCACTAATTTTGTTTTAAAAACATAAATAAACTGAAGTTATTATTTGTAAATTGTTACAATAAATGCATATATTTTTAAACATCTTGTTGAATCTGTAAGATTACAAATAAAATATTCAAAAGTATATTTATTTATTTAATGAAATTAGCAGGTGATACCCTTTACGTGTTCTAGAATCCATTTAAATTGGTGCTGTAGACTTGCTCTTGAATCATCCACAACAGCGTGTGCATAGCTTGTCATCAACCATTTCTCGCCCAACCATTCATAATTTGCCCCAATCTTACTATTAGCTCTAGCCAGCATTTAATTATGATTCATTTCTTTAATATGCAACAAGTAAAATAAGTACAAATTGTTTTTTCTGTGCTATAATTTATTTTCACTTTATGTGTTTACAAGAGGGGGGCGTTTCGTAATTACGTAGGTGGGGTTAAAGTGTGTGTTACGGTTGCATTGCAAAGGGGTGTGTAGATGATTGAAAACTCTCCAAATTTAAATGTGTTGCATAATATATAGATGACCCCTTAACACTTTTTTGGGAATGCTTTCTGAATGTATAGCATTATGTCACCTTTTCTGAATATCAGACACTTCTAAATAAGGACTTTTATTTTTAGCTAAAACCTGACTGTTATTGAGCAGTTTTAGTGCATTATTCTTCTACCATGATCTCCTAAAAAGATCTTAACATAGGCTTGTTTACAACCCAAGATTTAAGATGTGTCTGCATATGTATGTTAATAAACCACTATTATTTATGTATTGTAAATTAGTATAAAAGTGAATATGTATTGATCCAGTTGCCTTGGGCATAGGACTCACTTCATTATTTCACCTTTTATCGAAAACTTTTAATTTGTTTAAATGTATTCTTAGACTGTTTTATTTGATGATGGCCAAGTACCAAAATAGATTTAATGCTGTGTCAGTTGTCAGCTGTTTTTTCCAACTTCAGAAAAATCTATGAAAGTAATCAACAGCAGCAACAGTAACATTCTATTTCGATATTCTAATTATTGTTTGACAAAACTAGAAAAACTTGTTTTGTGATTGATTTTATTGAAAATTAAACTGTATCACTTAAGAAAGAACAGCACTTGTAGAGGTCAAAATTCAGCAGCTTTTGTTAAGTGCGCTCAAAACATTTTCAGTATTGTAATGTGCGTTTCAAGCTTTCAAAAAATGTGTAATGACTTTTGTCTCTTTGAATTTTTCTGTATAGTTTAATGTTCAAAATGCTTGGGTGATACTGTTCTAACAGTCTCCAGATTGACTTGTTTATCTGTAATCGTTTTACTCCTTTTTCTTTCTTTCTTTTTTTCTTTTGTTGTTTCTTAAACAGTACAAAGTAGTTGAATTTTTCTCCTTGTAAGAAAAAAAACATAAATAATTTGTTTCTTATTTATTTATTTTTTCTTTCTTTCCTTTTCTTTTCTTTTCTTGCTTCTTTTAGATTGTTGTTGAAAGGTTTTATCTCAATTCAAGTGCCATTGTCCTTTTATATTTCTTTATTTTTGTTATAAAGAACAATTCAACAATTAATTTAAGTTATTTATAAGCATTATCAGCTGTACATGTAAGTTCAAGTATTGTATTTATCCGAATATAAGTCATCATCGAATATAAGACAACACCCTAATTTGGAAGGGGCCTTCTGAGAATTTTTTTTAAAATTTGTATATAATTCTTTCTATTTAATCACAGTAAAATTACAAAATGTCTTTTGGACTAGAAAATTGTCTTGTTGATGAGAATGTTACGACTTATGGCTGAACTATTTTCTCGTTCCTTAATATCATCATAATCATGGTTTTTGCCACTACCCTTATCATCTTCACATGTATCAATGTATCTTTATTTTTGATCCTCCTTCCTTGTGACAGTAATGTTTTAGGTCCCTCTTGAAAGTTTTGCGCACTAAATTTGCGTTGTTCATAGTTTTTCGTCAAATTCCGTCTAAGAACATTTCCTTCTGGCGCCAGATTTTCTATCCGTCCCGCACTTGTTGATGGCCTCTGTTCAGAACACAGATTCGCATTCGCCGGCCGTCGAACTGAGTTTCCGCGCGGCCTCGTCGAACCCGCATCGTGTAACAAACTCGCGGCATTTATTTTCACGTTACGTTTCATTTGATACAATGACATTCGGTTAGAGATTCTCTTTACCGGCCCATTCATAAATATCGGTCTCAATTTGCCCGACATATTCGCGGAGGAGGCCGAGAATACGAACGCGAATATAATTATATACTGCAGATACGCGCGATATTTTTATGGCCTTTGCAGGTTATTGTTACGTCAACATTTACGAATTTCATGTCATGGAATGGCAATGTATAAACTTAAATCCTAACCGACGAGGCTTAATCTCTGAATATAATACGACCCCCCATTTTTCGACTGAGATATTTCGGAAAAAATCTCGTCTTATATTCAGGTAAATATTATACTATATGTGATAAGGATGCAAGAGCAAATGCGATTATTATAAAGGTTTGCAGTTAGGTCACTGATGCTATCACAGCCTCCAATATACTACATATGTTTTTAAGGCATTAATTTGTATTATGTATCCATAATAGTATTAACTCGTTTTTTATAGCAAAAGAAATTTTGTGTTTGTTGGAGTACTCTAAAGATAGTCCATGTGGTTGTTACTCATTACATCTTATTTAACTTTTTCGTTCTACTTTCATAATTTGGAGTCAGTGAATGAGAGAATAAACCTTTCACTTTTTTTTTTATTCACGCTCAAATTCATTTACTATTTTTCTTATTGTCGCTGATACACACTTTAAATAAAGGCTCTAACGTAATCAGTAATATTGTGACCATTTTAAATATATTTTCTTCTTACATATCAAGTAACTTTGCAATTTCATTAATCTACAGTTGATAAGCTCTTAAAACCTGTTTTTAGTAATATTGGGGAAATGAAATCTAAAAGCAAACTTTCTAAAAATTTATGAGAGGAATTATTTCTGATTGAAAATCTTTCCATTCCCTTCTACTTCTGACTAGGAATTTTTTTTTAACCTGACCATTATATATACGCAAATTAAAAAGTAACATTCCATATGGAGCATTATGAAGAGACATGGTGATGAACATGAAACTAAAGTTAAATGCATTAAAATGTACAAATTTGGGTGGATGTTCCTTAATTTAGAGGTATGCTGTCAGAATATTGACTAAAGAAAGTTCAATGTATTGTAGTTCCTTTATGTAACTATTTTTTTAAATACTGTGAAGTATAGAAAAGGGTGTTTTTCAATCATATAGTTATCGGTATGATATGAATTTGTTTTTAAAATAAAAATTGATCATTGTTTTTTAATTTCATCATTTTATATTTTATTGGCTATTTTATGTAAAAATTTACTTTTATCTATTTGCATTTTCAAAAGTATTATTGTGAACTGTGTAAGACTGAAGACAAGTATAAGTGTATGTTCAGTACACTTGTCAATGTGATATAAGAGTCTTCCCAAGTGGTACCTTTGTATGAATGTATTCAGACATGCACATTTGTACTTCATAAATAATTCAAATAAATTTATAATTTTGTTGTTATATGATGTTTTTTCCTTATATTTTGTATTATATACATTTTGAGGCATGTAGAATCAATTTAAGCTGTTTTAATTTTGCATATTTTCTCATATATCACCGTAATTGCATATTTGGGCCATATTTGCTTATTTTTGTTGCATATTCATCCCTCATCTGCAAAAAGAAGCCCAAAAGTTGTGGTTCCACTAGCGTGTAAGTGGCTCTGATAACTCTCTTGCCCCATGCTATGGTACATTATGTCCACGACCATAGCCGTGGATCAGCGTTACTGCTCGCCTGACTCGTACAAAGTTGCTTGAGAAGCACGCTAAGACCTGTCATCAGCAGTATCAATCAAAACAAAGTGTGAATCTGCCGAGTGCCTATGCGTGCCCACACACGATACAAACGTGGAGTGGTGTTAAGAGGGGGCCTCGAAATTGAGAAGTCATATTTTTGTTACAATACCTATATTTTTTTTATTTTGTGAAATGTACATTAACTGCATCTCCCATTGTTTTCCTAACAAACACATGTTCTTCAAAATTAAACCCTTGACTTAATGTGTCACAATGTGCAACAAGTGATCCAGTTGTTGTGAACTCTGATGTAGAGGATTCTTGGTTATAGTGAACCTAAGTCTCTGGTTCTGTTTCACTTACAATACAAATGAGCACAAGAATAGTCTTTATAGTGAATTCTAAACCTTAGCTACAGTGAACATAGGAAATAGGAAAACGTAGGAAATAAATCCTAGAAAAAAAAATATCACCTCAATGCTACAAATTCCAACACTAGTCAGCTTTTTACAAAATATCGTCTGCTAAAGGTTATAATCCAAGAAGTCTCCCCTGAGATGGAGAGAGTATATTTCCATTCAGAGGTCAGTTTCATTAGCCGCTTGCACTTCGCTGCTACTGAAAGGATCTCGTATGTTCTTAGGAGAGTTAAAGGGCCCTCAGAGAATGGACGGTATTCGAACAGTGTAAGAGGCATTGAAGGGTGTCAAGACTATGTTATGATACTTGGAGACAGTGGACATTACAGAATCAAGTATGGAGAGAGAACAAACTGGAGATGGATCTAGAGAAATTACTAATGAAAAATGTACGAAGTAAAAAATTGAAAATAATTTATTTTTAAGGTCAAATAAATATATTGAAGTTTTCAGTTAACATTAATGTATTTTACTGCATCTTTTCATAAATAAAATCAATAATTGTGGAGAAATTATGTTAAATTTTGACATCGTCGGATATACTGAATCTCTGATATATTGAAACAAAAATATTAGCTCTCAGTTCACTATAGCCGGAGTGCACTGTACTATATAAATTTACTGGAAAGAAAACTAAACCAACATATGATTTGAGGAGATCCGTAAATATTGCATTCTACAACATTTTTGTAAAATTACTTAATGTAAAGAAACGTTTTCTTTAATAAGTATGAGGATGAGTTTTTTAAGCTAATGAAACTTCCAAGCATTGTCCTTATGGTAACATATGCTCTTGAAGTTCATTGCGGCCGATGTATTCACAGCTTAGCACATTGTTGGCCATGTATGCAACAAAAAAAAATTTTACTTATAAAGTAGGTTTGAGAAGGTGCCAGATAACAGAAATTCTGTTCTTTATTTTGAGCAGTTTGATGATGAGTGGTTTGAACAGTAGAGCTGGTAAAATACGAGTAAGTAGTTTTCAATTTATTTATGATTTGAGAGTTAAAAGTGACCTGTTAATTTGTGAGTAGGAAAGGCTTCTACTGCTACGAGCAAAATAAAATCATTTTTACCATATGTGACTTACACTATTGTTTAGACAGCGTTACTGACTTTTTGTTTTTATTTTTCCTTTCTGTCATTTTGTCTTTTCTGGTTATTTTGGTCCTAGTCAGATGAAAGTATTTTGTTTTCTTTGTTGCATTCACAGATTTATCAGAACACTTGAGCATTGTCTCACTTTCCTCACTAGTACTAAAATATTGCTTTTAGCATGCTAAGCCTGCCCTGAAAAGCTGGTTTTAGTAGTGACTAAAAAAAAAAACAACATATCAGTTTACATAGCCATTCCAAACAATAGTACCAAGAAGTCTTAATTATATTGTAGCACCACTAGACAAGAAAGCGTTTGTCATCCACACGTGATATAATCAATATGTGGTCATTGTTTTGAATAAATTATGTAAAATCACTAAACATAATATAACATTTTTTGGAGGGTGGGGCAGTCATGGCTGTCTTACCTCCATCCCACATAAAAGTGATGGCCGATTATGTCATTGTATTGTTAGTTTGTTTTTTCTTGCATAATTTTTTTCACAAAGAGCAATATTATTCACAAAAGTTAGGAATGTGGTTGGAATATTAAAACTCAAATGTCCATAAATTTCTGTGTTGAGCATGTATTTTATTGTCATATATAGAGATTTAGGCCATTAATTTACTCAGAACTTAAGTAATCAAACATATTTGAATGCAATGTATTGTAATTTTATTCTTCAGTAACAATTAACAAAGAAATATTACACAATGGCATTCAAGAAATGATTCATTCAGACATTTCTGACAGCTCCAACACTATTAACAAGCAGAAACTGTCTTTTTTCTCAAATCCTTCAATGAATGTAAAAACATTGAAGTGCCAAGAGTTAATAAGATGTCTAATTATTGTCTCAAAGGAATTATTTTCATACATGAGTTTATTTAAGAATGAAAGTTGTTACTTCCCTGTAGTTCATTAATTTAATTTTTCTTTCAACCAAGAGCTAGCTGACTGCCTTCTCTAATTTGCTCTGTTTCTTATGGGAAACATGGCCAATCTCTTTACTTTTGCCAAGCTCCACTTTGAATTTTTGACATACAGTTCAAATGTAGTTAATTGTATTTGAAATCATGGATCAAAAGAAATGGTAACGCCTTAAGCATTTGGATCATAAAAGTGAAGTTTTGTAGTTGCCATTGAAGAAAATGTTAGGAATCGGTTCTTAAATTTTGGTATTCAAATTCTTTGATTTATAGGAAGATTTTATCAGCATTATTTTTATTGAAGTGCAAATATAAAAATGTATTATATCTTAGTTCCTTCCAATTCTAGTGCAGATGATAGTTTAGATTTTGAGCTCGGTAAGAGAGATGATCTTGTCCATGATTTAAGGCTTGAAAAGTGTAGTTGTTTTTTCTTTTTGTACAAACGCCAACTCCTACGTGTGGCTCGGTCCAGAATCACACAAAATACAAAATGTGACACTCCTTGCATTGAAGCTGTTATACAGAATAGGTATTGCCAGTGGAGAAAACCAAAAAGCCAACATAAACCCAATAAACAGAAAAGATACGACGAAGCTAAAACTCTTCGAACTATTCGAGTGGAGTCCTCTTGGCTGTCTCTTAGTGTCACAGGGTGTGGATTACATTGACATATTGACCAGATTACAAGCAAAAATAGTACAGAATTCGTAACGACAATGATTCCTAAAGGGATTACAACTGCAAGCAAAAGAGTAACACCTGAAGGATAGCAGCTATGGGGTTCATAAGCATGTGAATCAACAATTAAAACCACAACACACATAACCACTGGACAGCCCCATGACATTGCAGATGCCATTGGTAGGAATCGCGAGTCAGTGTGAAGAGCGTGCAGAGGCTTGGTGAGTCGGCGATGTTGATAGAAGGCTGCTACAAGGGTCCAGATGCCAAGAGCCAGTGCTGACCAGTGAAGAAGCAAACCTCGCACCAAGCATAGTGGCACAGACTCTGCGTGGGAGGCTGCTGCACCGTCCCAGAGGATCGCTGCCATGAGTATTGCTTGAGCAGCACAAAGCTGCAATTGAAGCCATCGGCCTGACCCCTCTCCAGGGAACAATATAGCACTTAGGAAAACTCCCATCAGACCCAGGAGAGACAAACTGCATCCTATCATTGTCACCTGAACAGTTTGGGTAAAACTGAATTAGTGAACATTTGTTTACATTGTGACTTCTATCTGGGTCAAGTGACTGTTTTTACTAACAAAATACTTAACATTAACATTATGGATTATGAAAAAGCACCCTGAATTTTGTACTTCGTCCATAGACAGTGTTTTGAAAACCATAATATTAATCTACAAAACAAGATACAAATTATTTTATAAAATACTAAATTAAGTTTTGGATAGTTTTGAATACTTACTATTTCAAGACCCTCTTCCTCCAGTTTACTTGGATTATTTCCAACATTATATAGAAGTTTACCAAAGTGGGTCAGATGTGTGCATATACAAATATCGGTAGCATTATCAGGATATTCTGCTAGAAAACAACCAGCTGCATCCCATTTTCCACTGCCATCATTTGCTTCAAAATTCCAAAATCTGCACACATTTTTATCTGTAAATTTAGAATGTGTATTTAGTGAAACTTTGATCATTTCCTCCTGAAATTCATTTTACAACCATATTTCCTGTTTCCTATATTGTCAAGTACATATCCTGATTTATTTATTTTGCAAGCATCAAACAATAATAAGTCGAATAAGACTAGGGTAGTTTTAGGGATATAAACATTAAAGATGCTAAAATATTAATTGGCACTAATATACTCAGCGATGATCTGGATAGTTGAGAATGCTAAGGCAGTAGTGTCGTGTCGTTCTCTGATCAAAGGATCATGTGATCGAATCTCACCTTGGGCATGGATGTATTTGTGATTGTCACTTCACCCTTCATCATCATCCTATCACTTCATTAAAAAGGAGGATTAATAATTCCCTGCGCAAGCAGGAGGTCCTTGCCCTTAATGGGATGTGCAGTTGGCTAAAAAAAAATATATACTCAGTGGGGGAGTCTGCTGCACCATCCCAGAGGATCGCCACCATGAGTTTTGCTTGAGCAGCTCAAAGTTGCAATTGAAGCCATACTTTATATATGTAAGCAGTTAATCAGTGAATGCATCAATATTTAAGTTGTGCAATATATTTATTATTTTTTTTAATTTTGAAAATGTCTAGAGGGCTTCATGCAAAGTAACCCAAATTTTAAAGTATGTTGTTCAAAATCTCAAAACTTTGACTTGAGCCATGTGGACAGTGGTTTCTTCAATTTTGAAAAAATCCCACGCATATTTTAGGCGCTAGTAGTGTTCACTGACAGGTGTTTTGCCGTCAATTGATTTTTCGGTATCAAGGACCCACAAAACAGGGATTCTGGCTACACCACATGTTAGAGGATATTTTTCCTTAATTTAGCAACTAGATTTACGCACTTTTTCATTATCAGGGTTTGGCAATGAATTTTTTCTCACAAAATCTGTTGTGTTTGCACGCAGCATCACATAACTTTCCCTCCTACTACATATATTACTCCGTGAATACGAACATATAGGGGAAAGTAGAAATAGGTGAAGTTTAAATTGAAGGACTTCTTTCCAGTAAATTCAGGCACTCAAAATCATTCCAATGTGTTTTACTTAATTGTGCATGGTACATCCTGATATCTTGCATGATTCTATCCATACATAAACACACACCACCCTGCTTTTTAGAGTAGCAGAGCAAACTGCCAAGATCAACAATGCAGGGCCAAATGGGGATAACCCAAGTAATGAAAATATGATCTGCAACCATATTAAAGGTTTTATATGTGGCCCTTGTAAGTTGAACACCCCTGCTCTGAATGAATAGACTTGAACTCAAGATATTTTGTGAATCATCTCTGACACACTTCAAGAGATTCAAGTCCAACTCTATCTCGTGACCATGTTTTAGATGTTTATTCCAATTGTGATTTAATGTATTAAAATAGACAACCCGTAAGTTTTTAAATCTTTAATCTTCATTTCAACGCTCGTGGAATATCCAAGGGCTCTATTTGCAGAAACAACAGCTTGTTCAAAATGTGATTTCAAAGTACAATAAGTTGATGATCAAAAATCACTCCCAAATCTTTCTTATATTCAACCCCCTCCAAAGTACTGTCAGAGATCTCATAATTGAACTTCACAGACATGATTTCATATTTACTTTGATTCAAAAGTAAGTTATTTCACTAATACCAGTTCACAAAAGTTTTTTATTCAACTTGAAGCTTAAAACAATCAATGGTATTAAGGCAAAATAAGCTTTCTCCATAAATCAATATAAAGCAGCACAATGCCACATTTATATCATTTATTCTCTTAGCAAAGAGTAATGGTCCTAAATTAGATCCCTGTGGTACTCCGGAGGAAAGGTTTAAGGGGGGAAAGTTCAGGATTAATACCCTGCGTAGCTTACAATTATGCAAGTAAAACTAAACAGCGTGATAATATGAAGTTAATTCCAAATGCTTGACCTTATGCATAATAACATTGTGATTTAAAATCAGCTGGTGTCACTAGCAGAATTCCTTAATTATGCTCTGTGAAGTCACTGACCAGGAACCCCAGGGATCTAATGGTGCCAATTATATTGCCAAATGGATAAAATGCAATGTTAATGGTGGATTACTCCACATTTGACACCAGTACATGCTTATAGAACATGGTTACAAAAAAGTGTAACAGAACCTAAAAACAGAATATCAAAAACCTTGCAGAAATTATGTCTCATTGAACATACTCATTAAGAAAAGTGGGAATTAACTGAGAGAAAGTATGAAGACTCACAATAATTGATCCTGTTTGATACATTGTTATAAATAACTTATTTTATAGCTGGTAGATGACATCTAATGTGTGCCTGTCAAACATCTTAGAAAAATTTGATAAGACTGAATTAGATCAGAAATTTTCAATTGTTTGTCCTTTTTAATTACAAAAATAATCCATGCTCTTGAATACTGAGAATTTAATGTAATTAATTATGAGTCATTAATAATGAGATAGTCTTTCTGTTCTCATGCAATTATAGTCGAGAACATTGAGTAGAAACCTTATATTGAAGAGGTTATAATTTAATGATTGTGAATGTACCAAGAGATTTCAGGGAAGCACCAAATTTTAATAATATGCCATTTTACAATTGTCTACAAAAGTGTATTTGCAGTCAAATTGCCTTGTAGGTACAGTGATGGATATATTTATGAATTTTGGTACACTTGGTTTAGAATTCTGCAACATTTTTTAATCTTATAAACTATTAAAAAAAGGAATATACATTATCCACTGTTTCAACTTTTTTTTAATAACTTTTATTTGCTCTAAATGTTTATAATAAGAAGAAAAGAACAATGTAAGAAGCATTTACCTGTTTTGTTTTGACCATTCACCAACTCTCTATCCTGTTTTGCAAAGAACAGCAAGATAGGATCCTCCAATTCTGCATGTTTGCCATCAATGGCAATGCTAACTACATGACCAGAAGCCTCTTGAATAGTAGTTCCTCCAAAAAGTTCTGAATTCCAAAATATAGACATGACTAGGCGATGAGAACTGGTTCGCAATTTTCGTAAAAGACTTTCAGGTAAAAATACAGCTGCAGAAAATCCTTTGTTCAGTACCCATTGAAGTGATGCATTGTATGGAATCTGAATAACGGTCTAAAAAATGAAAATTATAAATAAGATTTTTTCTTCAAATAATATTTTACATAAACTTTTTTTGTAATATTTCACTTGTATTTTTTTATAGTTAGATTATTAGTTTAGAGAATTCTTGTAAGTCTGTTCAAATAAAATAATTTCCAATTGTTGCAGTAATAATGTAAGCATATCGCAATGTTCGGGGGGGGGGGGAAATATCACAATTGGAAGTTTGGTAGTCCATACATGAAAGTCTCTCACTTTATTTATACCTGATTTTCAAAATGTTCACCATCATGTGGCAAGACTCCTATACCACGTGGGATTGAAGTATAATTTCCAACTGTATTTAGCACAAAAGTAGTGATTTTTTTTCTCACAACAAGCTCTGAAAACAATTAAAACACCAAAACTTGAGAATGTATTACAATGTTTAAGTCTACTGGTGTGTACATTATGAATGTATGTATTCATGAAAGGCTAAAATTGTTACCTTTTGACAAGGGAAGAGGAGCCATCTGTAAAATGCGATCAAGTGACTTTAAGAGCACATTGCTTGTTGCTGCTTTTTTTTGCATTGATCGAAGATTATCTCTTTGGCCTTCTGTATTTAAGACCAATAATTCATTAACTACATTGGTAATAGTTGAAATACATTGCGAGTTTAATTCTTCAGCATGTTCTATGCTTCCTAAGACATGTGCAATATTCCAAATATCATATTCTGAAAGTTTTATGTTTGTATCATTGATGAGTATAGATTCGAGCTCAAGCAATTCTTCTGAACCAATTCTGGTGCCATTTTTTGTGGTTTGTTTAGAAAGTTCTTCGAGACGTTGAGAAAGAAGGCTAGTTATTTCCCCCTGGATAAAATAAACAATAAAATTATTCATTATCTTTTTTAAATTTCAATTTGAATTTTCTTTTGACCTGAATCTAGCAAACTTATAGAATATTGCATTTAAGGGACATCTGAATATTAAGGATCTACCAGCAATTTTAAATGCAATGTAAGAAACAAAATTAAAAACGTTAAGGCCTTAGGGAAAACTATTTCGAAGCTTTTTCAAAAGTAAGTTTTTTCTTCTACTCATTGAGAATTAGTTGAAGGAATTAATCCAATTTTAAGCTCTCAAAATTCCTTGAAACTACACCTGTAATATCCCAAAACAAAACAAAAGCCATTCTTATGGCATTACAAAAATCCAGAGAACAAGTGCTATGAAATATATTAATAATAACAATAATAACAATAATGATAATAATAATAATAATAATAATAATAATAATAATAATAATAATAATCATAATAATCATAATAATAATAATAATAATAATAATAATAATAATAATAATAATAAATTCCGTGGGAGTGGCTGGTCTCCTATCGGACGTGTCCCCAGGTGGCGGATCTGGAAATGCTCTTACCGGCCACGCCGGAGGTTAGGTGGGAAATAAAATACCACCCGTTGGACAAAATCCAGACGCTGGCGGCAGCGTTAAAACGCTAGGGGAAGGTGTCCCCGAAAAGAAACCCATGATGGAAGGACCCTCAGAATCAATTGTTACGGTGCTGGGGATCGGAGCCCCAGTACCGGCAGCCGGGGGTATGCAAGCAGGCCCCTGGAGGTCGTCAACCAGCGACTGCAATCTCAGAGACATGGACCGCTTGGCGTCTCTGAAATTCTACACTGCGACAAGCGAAAGCCTAGAGCGTGCAGGTTTTGACCCCTTTTCTGGGAGGTCGAAGCTGCGGAGATCGCCTTCAAGTACCCCAACCACTCCAAGGATACCTACCGACCAGAGGAAGCGAAATCCAAGGACGACTGCGGAGCGAGATGGCACGGCGAGGGAGAGACAAGGACCTGAGACAGGAAAAGGACTCGCAGAAGAAATGACTTCAACGAGTGTTTTGATGAATAAATGGAAGACCATTCAACGACTGGAAGAACAGCAGATAACTATCATTGATAGTCTAAACGAAAACCTGAAGACGATGGAGGCGTATATGCTAAAAAATAACCCGGTACGCGTTAAGGAAGCTATGTCTAAAGCCCGGGCTAATTTCGTAGCGTTAAGATACGATGACAAGATACCCTAGAAGAGAAGACAGAGTTCCAAAATACTATGCAATCCCGTGTAAAACGGGAAGAGGTCAATAGCATAGAAAAAAGCAATTCCCCCCGCGGGCTCACAGGAAAAAGAGAGAGGCACCCAGCCCACCAGAGGAAGACGTTAGAAGGGGGAAGAAAGAAAAACAGAAGGCTGTGGCAGAGTCAACAGATGTCACCTGTGACGCCACAGAACAACAGGAAGTGGGGGTGGAGGGAGATGATGAAGGATGGCTGAATCCACCGGAGCAAAAGAAGAAAGAGGCAAGAGAAGAAAAAAGAAAAGAGAAAGTGAAAGCCGATCAAAACAGGACAAGAAATAAAACCCTGAACCAGGCCATCAAAATCACTGCCAAAGAAGGAAAGACATATGCTGATATCTTCCCAGAGATGAAAAGGGCAGTCAATCCAAAAGACCACAACACAAACGTTTAGAAAATAAGAACAACTCAGAAACAGGATCTACTAATTGTCCTGGGTAAAGAAGGGAACACATCATCATTTAACAATGCACTTGTAAAGGCAGTCGGGGAGAGTGCTATAGTTAGAACACACACCAAAAACCCTTGTAGAAATTAGAGATATTGACGAGACTGTTTCTGCAAATGACGTAGCAGCTGCATACTGGGGGGTCCTAGACACACCGACCGAACAAATAAACAACTCGTGCAGACTATATAAGGGGTTTGCAAGCGACAATCTTGCCACCTACAGATCTAGCCTAACAACTACTGAAGAACGACAAGAGAGAAATAAAGATAGGATGGGTCAACTGCCAGATGCGCGAGAAGCAACAAGTAACAAGATGCTTCAAATAATAAGCTAAGGCTTTTGGACACATATCCACCAACTGCCCGGGCCCTGACCGTAGAAATACATGCTACAAGTGCGGAGAAACAGGGCATCAGATAAAAGACTGCAGCAAGACACCCAAATGTGTCATATTGAAGGATAAAAATCTAAATGATGGCCACATGCCAGGAAGCAGAAAATGCTCCTCATTCAACGCCGAAATAAACAAGCAAAGTTAGCGACAAAATAAGGTTCCTACAAGTTAACCTAGGAAGGAGCACAATCGCATAAGATCTACTTGTGCAAGTTGCAACTGAAAGAAACGTGGACTTGTTGATTGTTAGCGAACAAGCGACAAAAACACGTGGTACGACATGTGGTATCAGGATGCTACTGGAAGAGCTGGCATAATAATACATAATAAGACGCTGAATAACAGGAACCACAAGAGAAAAAAATACGGGTTTGTATGGCTGGTAGTGGGTAATATGAGAATTTATAGCTGCTATTTTTCACCGAATGGTATGCTAGAAAAAATTCAGAAAGATATCGATGAGCTGGAGGCTAGCTTGAAAACGTCTAAGCGCGAGGTATTAGTGGCAGGCGATTTCAACGGTAAGTCGTCCGCATGGAGAGAGACGCGCTCCGATAGAAGAGGAACTATCATATGTGAATTCATTGCAAGAAATGATCTGATCATATTAAATAGTGGGGATGAGTACACCTTTCAACGTGGAGCCGCATCATCTATTTTGGATTTGACAATAAGCTCCACCAAGCTAGTTAAAGGCATCACTGATCGGTCAGTTCTCGACGCAGAAACCCTGAGTGACCATGGGTACATAAGATATTCGACTCCATTAACGGAAGGGCTGCAACATGTCAAAACGCGATATAAAGGAAGACCACCTTGGAATCCCAAAAAATTGAATAAAGACAAGGCAAAACGCTCCTTGGAAGAATCCAGGTTGCTGGTTAACATGGGTTGGACGAAAGAGGCGGAAACGCTTGAGGATATGGTCAAGGCAACGGAGGAAATAGTAGTAGCAGCTTGCGACGCATCCACGCCTAGACGTATATGTCCGAAGAGGAAACATCAAATGTATTGGTGGACACCATAAATAGCCGAACTAGAAGGAACAGTAACAAGGCAAGAAGAATAGCGACAAGGGCCAATACGAATCTGCACCTGAGGGAACAGTATAAAGAACTCTCCTAACGGCTTAAGAGAGAAATAAAACGAAGTAAAGGCAGATGCTGGACAGAGCTCTTAGAACAGGTAGACAACGACCCATGGGGCATGGCTTATAAAATAGTAAATAAGCAATTCAGGATAGACTGGATGATACCGGGATTGAATGACCCACAATGGATGAGGAAAGCTATCAGGAGCCTCTTTCCCACTAGAGATCCTTGGACGAGACAAAGAGCGACTTCACGGTTGATACAGCAGATTACTTCACGATAGACGAACTGAGGAGAGCGGCGAAAAGCATGAAAATTGGAAGGCCCCCAGGTTTTGATGGAATTCCCTTTGAAATACCAAAAATAGTGGCACATGAGTATCCGGAATGCCTTTTGTCAATCTATAACCGCTGCCTTGAGGATGGGAAATTCTTCAAGACATGGATAAGACAAAAGCTGATACTCCTCCGAAAGGGCAACATGCCGGTAGATCAGCCTCCTTGACACCATGGACAAGCTGCTTGAGGGTTTAATACTCTCTAGGCGTGAGGGACTCATATGCTTTTCTCACAGGCAATATGGATTCCGGAGAGCCCGCTCGACGACGGATTCCATCCTGAAAGTAATCGATAAAGCAGACGCAGCCAGTAAAGGAGTCGGCAAGAAGAAGGGACTCTGCGCGCTCGTGGCAATTGACATTAGAAACGGCTTCAACTCCGCTAGGTGGAAGGACATTAAAGAAGTGTTAGTTAATAAGATGATTCCGGAATATCCCATAAGGCTTATTGAAGACTACCTCCATGAAAGGACAATAACTTATGTGGACAGTATCAGGATAGAAGAGAATGTGACGTGCGGTGTTCCTCAAGGGTCCAGACTTTGGCCATTTTTATGGAATGTCCTGTATGATGACATTCTAAGCATTGACCTGCCAAAAGATACGCAGCTCATAGGTTATGCTGACGATACGCTACTAATAAGCCACAGCATTGACATTGAACTCCTCGAATTGAGAGTGAACGAAGCGCTGTTTAGGGTTCAAAGATGGTTAGATAAACGACAGCTACAAATGGCAGTGCAAAAAACCGAAGCTGTCCTAATCACCGACCGGAGGGCCTTTCACTACCCAGATCTCTGACTAGGAGAGAATCAACTGGAAGCGCCAGATAAGATATTTAGGAATCGAAATAGACCATAGACGCAGCTTCGGGCCCCACATAAATGTGATGGCAGAGAAGGCGGCGAGGACAGGAGTTAACATCGCAAGAATGCTACCGAACGTCGGTGAACCGAGAGAAGCCAAGAGAAGAATGATATCTGGTATAGTTCACTCACAGTTGTTGTATGCTGCTCCAGTCTGGGCGGGTTCGCTGGAGAAGTGAGGAGGCTGTGAGGTTGGCGTGTGCCTACCGCAGTGTCTACTTGCGCAGTGCTGGTATTGGCCAGTACACCACCTATTGACTTAATAGCCATGGAAAGAAAGAGGACGTACCTCGCCTTGAAGGAAGCACAACAAGCAAATAGTCCTATCCCTCCCAAGAAATTGAGAGTATTAAAGCAGAAGCAAGGAAGTTGCTCCTTGAAGAATGGCAAGGAAGATGGGATGGTGATGTGAAAGACAGATGGATTCATCGGTTGATTACAAACATCGAGAGATGGGTTAGCCGAAGTTTTGGGGAGGTGGGTTATTACCTGTCTCAGGCTCTACGGGGCATGGGGTATTTAATAAATACCTCTACGATTTCAGGATCGTAGAGAGGCCCCCATGTAGTCTC